TCGCTAGCTGACATTCAGATGTTTTCGAAACACTATAAATACACGTCTCTTGCATCACCCGTTATCGAGATATGAATTTTAAAATTCGATGTGCCGTCGGTATTATTGTCATTTTTTTTCTCTTTTTCTTTTTTTCTTTTTTTTTTTTTTCTTTTTTTTTACGATTCTTTAAAGCAAACGGTATTTAATACACTTGTCCACACGCCATCGACAATTGAATTAAAAGCAAAAATAACAAATGCATATAAAGCAATATAACGTCGGATACTAGTAAAAAAAAAAAAAAAAAAGAAGTGAAAAATAATTATCGTGTATTTTTCCAAATATTTGAGCGTTTTCAATTAAACAGGATATATCGTGGTGCGCATTTGTTTGATGGCGTGAATTGTTGATGAAAAATCGATCCGTATTCGTATCTTCGTAATAATAAGTTTTGACACGTGACAGCGAAACGTGCGAATATTTTTTTCAAAAAAAAATATGAATTTAAAAAACTGATGTGGAGTCGAAAATTTATGGTAAATCTCAATTTGCTACTATTATCTGATTAGTATATATCGAATAATTATCTAGAAAAATTTTTGAACAGAGGATAAGATTTTAAGCAATCTTTTCCTATGCGTGTGATCATCCAATATTTTTAATTTTCGATATTTACAAGAAAAGATTGCTAGAATATATATAGAACTTCCGTCAGATCTGCAAAAATAAAGTATAAAATAATTCTTGACCCGAGCAAAAATATTGAAGTTACAGTGATGGAATTAATAGAATCTATTGGTATATATATTTAAGAAATGAAGAAAATTCTACAACGTTCGAAAACTCATTATTCCATGATCTCGAGAAATCTGTTATTGGTTAAAAATATCGTTCAATTCAATCTCATTGAAACATTAGCATTTTTAAAATTTCATTTTATATTTCTTCCAATATAATTAAAATACAATAAGCTTATTTAATTATTTATTCTGATACACACATCATTACTGATCGCAGAGTTAAATAATAATAAATTATGCATAAGATTCGTATTTTTTTAAGAATTCCTGAAATTAAGATTTTATATTTGGACTCTTTTTATACGAGTCACACTTCCCCCGTATCGAGTTCCCTTTCCGATCGATTATTGGAGCCGTTCAAAGGCAAATTCTTTCTCTCCACGTTGATACGCAATAGTGATACGGATACGCGCAAAAGAAACAAATGAATATCTACCTTTAAGAGTGCAGAGAACAGCGAGAACGAACGTTCCTTATCCTTATCGTTGACATATTGCGTAAAAGCTGCTCCGCTGCTCTTATTTATAGACCGATTGTACTCCACTCGCATTCAATCTCGCTCCCTTGAAATTCTGCGTCGAAACATTTTTTTTTTCTGTTGTGTCACGATTGATGAAACACACATACATATACACAAAGATATTAATATATTCGTTGGGCATCGTTTGGAGGGCCGAGTTTAGAAGCCAAAACAAACACGAACGTTGATATAGAGAATAAATAAGTTACAAGCAATTTGACTTAACAAATAAATAATAAGTTATATATCAATTGAAGATTATGTTAGGGGAAGCGGGACGGGAATAGAGTGAGACTCCCCGTCACATCGTTGTTGCACTCTATTTCCACTTTGCTTCATTTAACACGAATTTAAGTTGTTTATAACTCAATAAATAAGCCTCAACCTACATTCTCGTATACAAACTTTTGTGTTTGTTTTGGCTTCTATAATCGACCCTCTGAAGGTGTTTCTATCTCTGTATATACATATACAGGGTGTTAATATATTCTCGAGACACCTTTAGAGGATCAATTTTACAGGAAAAAATAAATAAATAAAAATATTGGTATAGAAAAATGTGTTTCGCACTTGCTCGTCTTAATATTGTTTATTATTTAAGTTGCAATTTAAGTTTTAAGAATTTTATTGCCGTTTTTATCTTCGCCTCGCTTCATAAACTCAATAATTAAACCGATTGTTTTTATACCATCAACTTTTGTGTTCCGTTTCGGTTTTCCAGAATCCACTGTTTAAATGTGAATTATGAACATTAACACCCTGTATATTCACTCGTCTCTTTTCGTTCTCCCCACGAATTTCGAACGAAATGCTCGTTATTATTAACGCGTTCTTGCTTTATCGAGACAACACGCTCACGACTGTTATCCTTTATGCGAACGTTTTGAATTTGTGATTATCGGTGATTATTCGTATCGAAAAGATAGGATGTTACGTCACGTTCAATTTTTGTTATTTGTACAAGTGTCACGAGAAATTGTATACAGAGCGTTTCAGGATGGTTGTTACATGCAAAGATGAAAAAATAAAATTAATTTCCGTTGTTAAAAATTCCGAGAATATGAGAAATTGGCAGATATTAATTTAAAAAAAAAAAAATTAAAAATGTGGAAAGAATAAGAGATTGATTAGTTTTAAAGAAAATTAAATTTGAAAATTCATCGAGACGACAATCTGATTATTTTTTGGATATCAAGATGATTTTATTTTCTAATGTTAAAAAAACAATTTGTCTTCGGTTTCTCAGATTTGACACGAGAAATATTATTTCTATAAAATTAAGTGAAATTTTTTTTAAAAATTATTTTCAAGTATATTTTTGATATTCTAATTCTTATTTTTATATCTTTAATTGTAATATTTCAAATGATATTTCAAAATGAATATATAAAATAATGATCACACACACACACACACACACACACACACACATATATATAAATGATCAAATTTTTATAATATAATTATACTTTTCTTTAATCTATTCCAAACTTAATTTAAATTTCTTCTTTTAAAATTATAAAAAAAGAAGACATTATTTTCTGAATACGAAAAGAAAATTATGATAAATCTTATTATTATGCAACAAAAATTTGAACTTAAATTGATGAAAACAATATTGCAACGAGTTGATTTGAATTTATTTTTTAAAAAAATAACTTGAACAATTCAATACTTCATCCTATACTTTTTATTTATTTCTATATGTAGAATAACTTCTTATAAACAATTCATTGTTATCAAATTTGGAAATTCGCCAAATTCGCTTATATTTGAAAAAAAATTTTATTTTTTTACATTAACTTTTGCTTGTAAAATTGCACTCTGTATCATTTGTTCTGGATATCTTGTAAGTTTTGCATAGATGCTTGTTATGAAAACCGATTTCATTCTATTTGCATATTCTCATATATACATATATATGTATCGATCGATGATTGATTTTTCGCAGCATTAGGGAAATATAAATGATTAGTAAAAGAAGTGTCGCGTGCCAGTGTCAATTAATGTTGTGATAGGTCTTCTCGAAATACCATGTTACACGGAGCGGGTATGTAATTTTAGCGAGAGTCACTGGACGCCGTGCTCGATTTATCCTCAAAGATCGTTGCCAACTTTTACGAATATGCGCCACGATAATCAAATTCGTTCGTATAAACGTGAGACGTAACAATTGTCCGATTTTGCCAAATAGGACTGGGATTTTTCACGAAACTGATCGGTTTTGTGGTAAACTGGGATAAACGGCCCATTTAACGAATTAGTTTGAAAGTTTTTAAATAATTTGAAAGTATTTTTAAATTTTTTTTTTTATATTAAGATTTATAATTAATCATTGGTTGTTCATTTCACTTTTTTTTTTGTTAACAAATTGATAAGAAAGAAATATCAATCGAAATATAAAATATATTTTTTTTTCTTATTTAGTGAATGCTCGTAATGTAGAAACTTAATTTGTGATAAATTTTTAATAACTTATAATATTTTATATATGAAATGAAATCTTTATCTTGTATCAATCTTCGATTTTTATTTTATTAAGCATTGTCTTTTTTTTCATAAAGAAAATCTAGGGAATTGTAATGAAACGAGTCGTTTACTCTAGTTGCTTTTTATATAAATTTTTTGTAAATATATCGAATTTGTGGAAAAGCAATGATTTCAATAATAGCAAATGTAAATCAATTTTTATAACGTATTTAAATTCATATATAAATGATTGAAAACAATAATGTCTTTTCCATTTATAAAATAATAATTCGTAAAATTAATTTATTATAAATAATAGCATAAAACTAATAAAACGAATTTAAAATTTTTTTATCCAAACAAAATTAAAAACACAATTTCTTCATCAATCTAATAATATAATTCATTAATTATGCTGATGCTAATTCGTGCGCGTACCTGAGACTCGATAATATCATTAGCTAGCAATGTAATCCGAGCGCCATCCTCATGTAGAAATGAAAAATTAGTCGGTGCTTTATGAATTTCACTGGGTAGTAGCGCTAAAAACAACCGTCACGCGACATTGCGTTTCACGTATTCACCCTAGATTCGTATGGTACCACCTAAAACGACAAGAAAATACGCGAGAATTGAATTTAAACGAGAAATACCATAGTTTGGTGAAATAGATCTTTATTCGTGTATATATATTTAAAAACATTTTTATCTTTGTCGAAAATCATTTCGACTTTCTCGATAGTATCTGCTCACATTTTCAGGTATGTAACCAAAATTTGCAGAAGATTCCATCGAACGAGTGACCGTAAAACAGCCGTTATTTTCACGTATTTGTCTGATCTCGTTTAACTTGGTATACTAATACCACTCGCATTTCCTCGCACTCGTTTAACCTAATTCGTTTAATCAACACACGTACGTCGATTTGTTTTTTCAAATCATTCGCTTCCGTTGATCGATTCACAATACATAATTTCCATTGCGTAAAGCGATCGATGAACGAACTCGATCGGATCATGTCTGATATACTAGGTATATTAGAAATAGATGTTCGAGTTGAAGTTTGCGATGAATCGTGCGGGCGAGCTGTGTAGAAAACTACCTGTTCTCGTGTTCGGTTCTTTAAATTGTCGCGGTCACGAAGAGAGGGAACAGTAGAGAGGGAAGCAGCGGAATAGAGTGGAGGGGATAGGGCTAATGGAGGCGGGCGGAAACAGACGAGATGTTCTGGTGCGTGGTTGGAGTGTAGTTGTGGTCGGGTCGCGTTGCTCGGGTCGTTTCTGTTCTGTCGTTTCTGCCGAGACTGCTGGGTGAGAGGGAGAGACGGAACCACAAAGGAACAGAGAGGGCTAGAGTCGCGACAGCGACGAGTGGGAGGCAGTTCACCGAGCCGTCCCGTTACATTATCTGCTGTTAGTCAGTCAGTCGTGCCAGTGATCCGGACGCGGTAAAAACGAGAGAGACGACGACGTGGCCGTTCCGGAAAAGATCGTTTCGAGACAGCCGGTCACCGTGAAAATCACCCGCAGAGTGTTTCGTATAATCTCGTCGTCTTCCTCGATCGTAATTTCTTTTCTAAACTGTAGCGAATTAATAAATATACTCGAAAAAAATAATAAGTAAAATATACTTATCGTTATACAAACGTTGTTACCAAACGCTGTGAAACGTTTACTGCGAAACGTGTGTGCGAAAAGTGCGCGCGAATATTGGCTCGATTAGCCGGCAGCCGATCCAAAGAACGAGCTGAGTCCCCGATCGATTCGATTTCTCGTTAGATTTCGATTAGGATCGCTATTATTTTCATTTTGAACCAAAGAGGAAAATAGCAGAAGAATTTTTAGTGGTAAAAAGTTGGAAGGAGAAATTGTCGATCGTCATCGATGTATCAACTCGACGATTCATCGATCACTCGTATCGAATAGCAGCGATGAAGTGAACGGATAACGCGGCGGGACGTTCCGCGGTTCCCGACAGTCGTGGCAGTGAAAGTACGTCACCCGGAGCTGTCTCCGCTTATTCGAGATTCTTTCTATCAGAGCGGGTTTCCTCGACATCAAAGAGATCGGGTGACGATCATGCTTCTCGCTTAACATTTCGCATACGTACACCGTGTACGAACAGTGGCCGTGATAAAAGTGTCCTCTTCTTTCTTCCGTGTTCCGTTTCGTGTTCCTTTCTTTTTTTTTTTTTTTTTTTTTTGTCCACCGATTCATTGACGATTCATCGACATCTCGGTACCGCGACCGGAAAGCGAATCGACCAGGATCGATACCGATCGAGACATATCATCACCAGTTGGCAACGATGACCGTGGTAATATTCAATGTTCGAATGTATTCACGTTTTTCGATAAATTTGTCGCGCAATTTCACATACGTATACATATATTTAGACGAAAGTATTGCTCGCACACTCGATTAAATGCACATTTTCAATTTATTACAGATTATGGAGGAAACAAACACGTTTGTTACGTGGCCGTCCCGTCTGAAGATTGGAGCAAAGTCGAAGAAAGGTAAGACCGCGCCTGCGCAAATGCGTTTCTTTAAATCACATTCACTGTTTTTGTTCGTTATTCATTCGGCGGATTGAAATATCAAAGCTATAGATTCGTAAAGCTATATAACCAAAACGTGAACGTGTGTTAGTAAAATGCCGATAGAAAGTATGGATTTAGCAAGAGCCAAACATCCGAAAACAACACGCAATGAAAGACACGACGCGACGTGACGTAGGCTTTGGGTTCGACAACACTCTCGACCTTCGAGGGACTGATCCACATCGATTGTTCTTGGTTCGTCTCCGCTTCTCTCTCTCTCTCTCTATTCGGTCAGATCTCGTCTAATGTTTATCGCTTACCGACCGAACTTCGATGCATATACCACACGGCACGCGATTACGTCAGTGTAGTAGGTTGCGTTGCCTTGGCTTACCAGCTGACGCTTGCTAGTATCGTGTATTTTCTTACGTCTATTTGCGGTCCGATCTTCTATCGTGCCACACGCGTGTCGTCACTTTCGGAACTTCAAATCTTCAATTTTATTCCTCTTAGGGGCCCCTCGAGCTTTCTCTTTTTCTTTTACTCTCTAGAATCACGGGAATATATTGACCTCGTTATCGGTTCGACATCGTTCGTGGAAACTCGCGTGGTCTCGATTCCTCGCGACTTCGAGGAAATAGCATCGCGATTACTCGTCTTGTTCCCGAACGTAGCCTCGATAATTAGAGCGCGCCCATTAATCGAAAGTGATTACGAAACGATTCGTGGTTACTTGCTCTCGCGCAGTAACGTGTATCGGTGAAGTGAAACGCGTATCTACGGAACACGATCGAACGGAAATGTTTTGAACGTTCTGTCGAATATTCCATGACCCGCTACCTTTTCTTTACGGCTCGGCATGGAAATTTTTCGGTGATTCATTCCTTCCTCGTGATTCGAACAGCTGTTTACCGCCTCTTCTCCTAGCGTGGAACCTGCTATGACCACGAAGGAATCTATTGTATATGACAAACCGCGTAATCGGGTATAAATAGGCCTCGTCTCTCTTACCTCCTACTGATTTTCTTTACCTCCTACGATTGCCGCTCCTGGAGAACACCCCGTTTCGTCGTATTTTGATAATTCTTCGGTTTAAAGATTCTTCCTAATTTTGATTATTTGAATCTTTTTCTTTTTTTTCTTTTTTTTTTTCTTTTAAGAAGCTTTATCTTATCAAAGAAATGAGTCGATGAAGTTTGAAAAAATATACATGGACAAACTTTTTTTTTTTGGAATGATTGTAGACAACTTGGCTCTAATATTATATCAGGTCTTTTCCAAGTTTTGAAAAAATATGAAAAATTTTTTAAATATTTATCGAAAATTTCCAATTAGATAGTATATAAATAATTAAATAATAATTGAGAAATGTTTAAAAATTTTTTCAATTGAAGAATAAAAATTGATTTCGGAGAAATTTAACAATGGAATTTTCCCCCAATCTTCAGCGTTGTCGTACGGATTGGTATTTGATGACCTTGCGAAAAAATAAAAGTCTATAAAGATTTCGATATGTTATTATACTTTTTCGTGAATCGAACATTATTTTGTTATATATAATATAATATAATATATCCAATATAAATAATGGAAAAAATAATTTTAACTTTAATTAGTATTTAAGTAAAATTGGATTAGAATGTTTAATAACGATAGTATAAACTATTTATTAAATTTTTTCAAGATTATCACGAGCTGACCGTTAATTTTTATTATTATTTTTTTTTTATTATATACACACCATAACAGAATAGTTTATCGAAAAATTATCTCTTCACTTCTATCTCATTCTAATTTCTTCTTTAAAGCTTTAAAATAAAAATCAGAATCAAAAAGTTAAAATCGTGAGAAATCATTAAATTGTATCACAGAATTAACTTTTTTTTTCCCAAGCTATTCACTTGATTAATTTCATTGCCAATGTCAATTTTGATTTATCACGATTATTGCGCTAACGTTATTCACTAAGAATAAATTAAGCGATTTATGTAATAAAACTTTTCAATTTTTATTCATCCAAATAAATTCAATCGAATAGCACGCGAGACTCGATGATGTATAATTATTCTTAAAAATATTCGCACAGATGTAACTTTAATCTTTGCGTTTTATATATTTAGAACAAATATATATAAAAAAATTTTACAGTGGATATACCAAAGAACAGTATATAGCTGTGAGAAAATAAAAAGTTGTTAACTCGAAAGTATCGAATGTTTGAACATTCAAAAAAAAAAGTGAAAGATTGATTCATATCAAAAATTCATAAAAATATTCAAAATTTTTTTACGAATTCAAAATAAAAAAAACTACGAATTGAATTTGATATAATTATGATTAAATAATTTTTAATTTTTAAAAGTTGTAATACCTTTGATATATACTAAGAATTATGTTTTGCTTTTTGCCATTTTTGCGATTTACATCTCAATGTATAACTCACGTCTTCAATTTGTTATTCTAATCTCATAACATAAATTCAACATGCCCGTTATATATCTCTTGCAAATTGAAAATTGCATTTTTCTTCAATCCGTGTGTATAAATTGCACTAGTTTAATATACGAATATTTTTGGAAACAACTACAAAATTATTCCACTTTCGCGCGTGCGCGCGCACCAGTCTTCAAAAGGTCGAGTGCGAGGTCAACTGTATCCGTATTCACGTATGTATCGTATGCGTATCTCCTATCACCGAACGTGAAATTATGCAAAGATTTCTTCACCATGAATTTTTTCCTTTGATAAATCTACCGATGTGGTCGGTGGTGGTGATACACTGTAATCGTATAACCACATCATGTTTTCGTTTACCGATCGACAAACAAACGACCAACTGTTCAACCTTGGCAAATCGTATTACGATTAAACGAAACGTAACGTTCTTTTTTTCCATTACGATAAAACGCCACGTTGCGATTAATCATCAATATCGTCGAAAAGCAATCGCTCTAAGTAGCTCCCTAATCGCGAAGAGCTTTCGATACAAATCTAAATTCACCTTCGTTTCAACGAAAATTTCTTCCTCTCTCTGAGCGGGAGAAAAATATTCCAGGGCAAAACCGGAAGACCATAAAGATACGAGTAAGCGAGTACGAAAACGTTAGTACGCGACGAACGCGTGATGTTTATCGTCGATTGGCCGTCGAGATATCTTTATTAGCCGAGGAACGCTCTCCGCCAACCGTTCTTTCTTCAACCGTAACGTGTCGTGGGTAACGCGATTTTAAACCGCCGATCCTTTTCCTTTCCGTTTCGAAACGAACGTTCTCCTTGAACGAGCCGGGAATATCGCGGTTCGTCGCGAAACGACATTTAACGCGGAGACAAAAAACGGTGTGGAACGTACGTTTTATCGGTGTGTACGGTTACGTAACACGAGCGAGGAATTACATCGGTTTAAAATGGTCCGTGGCGGTTGCCTGCTCGCCGTGTCCCGATAATCGATCGTTTGTTTCTCCTCCGAGCCAGGCAACCGGCCGATCGCGATCGAACGTGTTATCTTTGCCTCTTACGAGAGAGAGAGCGCGTGCAACAGAGATCCGCGAAGGTCGTTCGCGCGGTCATTCGCGATCTATTTCTGGGTCACTGTTTCGATTCGGGTTTTCTCCTCTTAGCAACCGACTTGATTCTTATATCCTCTTTGTATCCTCGCTATTTTTACGTCGGATTCGTCTGGTATCGATCCTCTTTGGTAATATTCGTTCTCGAGATGCAATCCTCTCCTCTTCCAGCCTGGATGGAACGAAATACACGAGGAGGGGGAGGGGCAAGCACACGCGAGCAAACGAAAAAATTAAATGCGCGATAATCGAGGCCCAGTTCTTTTTGCTCCTCTTTCCTCCACTGAAAGACGAAACACAATTGCGAAATACAAGCAAACTCGTACAGTTTACACGCCACGCTTGATAAAGTTTCCATTCCGTCTCTGCGTTTTTTCCCTCGCATCGCGTTTCTTTCTTTATTTTTCGCTCATTTCTCTCGGCCCACTTTTTTTCAAAAAGGGAATAATATCGAACGGAGGAGTGATGGCAGCACCGATCCTTGGAATCGTCGATTCGATCCAAGGTGTCGCGTCATTGTCCTCGGATTCGTTCCGTACGGATGGAAAAAAAAATAGCATATTCGAATAGGCGGCGTACAGAGAATATTAATTAATAAAGAGACGGTCGATGTAATCGGTAGTTCGGTGTCGGCTGTTATGGCATTCCGTCGACGTTCCAGTGTCTCGGTGTCGATGTACCAGATGCTCACCGATCGCGTTCCATCGGAACCCGTATTACTCGAAAGGATAGCATATTGCCGCGTTGTTGAGTAATTCGTATCTTTTTCTCACAGATCCGCATATAAAGGTCGCAGGTCGACCCGATGACGTGCGAGCTGCAAAGGAAAAAATAATGGAAATTTTGGATACGAGGGTAAGCAGTAACCTTTTTTTCTTCGTTTTTTTTTTCTTTATTTTAATCGTATTATTAATCGCATATAAGAAAAAAGTTGGCACTGAGGAAAATTAAGAAACGAATTGATCGTTTGTGATTTTATTTATAGGAGAAATTAATATTCGACAAAAAGTTTTTTCAAAAAAGTAGAGAAGATATATATAAGGAAATTTACAAACGATCAATTTCTTAATTTTTGTCAGAAAATGTATTTTTGTGAAAATGTTCGCAATTTTTCAAGCATATGTAATTTTAATAGTGAGACGATGATAGAGACGAAGATAGTTCCATCCAGTTTATTAAAATTATATAATTTATACGTAAAACAAACTTCAACACGGACATATTTTTACATATCATTGCATTTGTTTTTAATTTTTAAATCGCACCTTAAATTTTCTACTCTTAATCTGGCTCAAACATCCTATCTTTAAACTGGATATATAAAATTGGATCGCGATTGTGAAATTGGTGTTATGGGTGATTTGTTGGTTTTTACCAAATACATTACATCATTCACGAGATTAATGCTGACCTTGTCAATCGAATTTCGACTTTTAGCGGTAAACACAGAATCGATCGGATCCGCATACCGAACAAACATTTCTCTACTCTTATCACAGATAATTCATCGAATGATAAAAGGTGGAACACGCTTTGAAACCGATCTAATCGATATTGCGATATTTATTTTTCTCGAACGAGGCGCAAGTGTTTCTCTTATTTTTCCTTATAATAAGGGGGAGACATACTTAATTTAACACTGAACTATTTTTCGAACGTGTATAATTTCTTTTTTCGATTATTATTATTATTACAACCACGATTCTTAGAGTTTACCAGTAATTTTAATAAATAAAGTCGGACGTATGTAGGAGGAGATACTTACTGCTGTGCTCTTTTTTCTTTTTTTTTTTCCAAATAATTTATTAGTAATTAAGATAAAATGTGTTTTCTTAATTTTTTAAACTTTCGACAAAATCGAGAGATTTATAAAGAGATCAATAAATAGTTGTATAGATGATAATAAAGAAGAAAAAATAATATTTGTTCAAGTAATAGTATACTGTTTAAAATTTTCTATGATATTATTTGATAATATATTCATAGTTAAAGATTAAATTGTACATACATATTGCTCGTAATAATTGCCTAATTTAACAACTTTTCTAACTAATAAATATATTTCTTAGAAGAGCTTCTTTTTAAGAAACTTTATAATGTAATTTTGGTTTTGGAAGTTAGGAAAAATGTTACATTTTCGAAATAAGAATAAACTGTATATTTAATTTGTCGTTAAATTAAATTGTCATTTATCGTGATCAATGTCTGTGGAATTTGCTGTTTACAAAAATAAATTTTTTGCAAATTATTGCAAACTGTTGACGAATTACCAAGAAGAATCAATTTAAAAACAATTAATTCAAAAATTAATTAATAAATTGATTCGAATTTTTTCTTACAATGACAATTATTTATTATAGTTTAAAGAATTACTGAACTTACAAAATTAATATGGCTGACGAATATAACTACGCTGTCAGCATTTTAATTCAGATAGTTATCCGATTTAAAAAGATTTAAAAATTCTATTAAATCCTATTAAATTATACCATGTGATGATTGTGTCAAAGCCGATTTTCAAAATAATTACTATAATATAAAATTACTACTTAAAAATCGATTTATTACGTGAATATTTTCTATTAAATAGAAACAAAAAGGAAAAAAAAAAAGAAACTTAAAAAGTTAAAAAAAATAACTTAACTTGAAGACTCGTGTTTTCAAGATAATCTTTCAACACTAAATTTGAAAATACGGCAAATGATAAGAAAAATTATGACGTCAATAGTTATAAAGAAAATATGTTCGAGGAGAAACGCGTTCAAACTTGTATTATTATCAGTTCCGTTTAATATCGATTTTTTGAGTCAAACAAGGATACGCCCCCTCCCTTATTGTCCCCTCTCTAAACACGGAGTCAATCGTATCCGAGGTTATTGCACTATAGTTTCCACGGAACCACGACGGGAAGTCGTGCCACTGAGTTTAATTTTTTCCTTTATCTCGAATCGCGAAACTTTCGCCTCGGCTCCTACCTCGACAAGAACTTCTATCTTTGGCACTTGCGAGTCCTTCTCATTCTATTACGACCGTACGTACGTCTGGCGTTCTTTTTTTTTTTTTTTCCTTTTTTAATCGTCGGTCGCGTGAACGGTACATACATACTCGTGTATGGATATACCACAAGTGGGGAGAAGGGTGAGAGAAAGGGATGCAACCACGGACGCATGGAATAAGGCATTCTATTTATACAAACAGAGCCGAGGGCCGCGAATTCCACGGCGGGAAAGCGAGTCGTCGTGCGAACCAGTCTCGCTCGCGTTAACCGACAGCCCGAATCGGCCGCCTTGTATTTCCTTCCCGCGTACCGTTATCTCCAACGTAACGCAGTCCTTGTTCACCGACCGTGCAAATTGCCCCTCTCTCCTCGCGACTCGCCCCATCCCCACCTATCCGCCATCCCCACCACGCGCCCGCTACCTCGTCCTGCACCACATCTCGCCACATCTCGCCACATTTCGCCACATTTCACCGCGTGATCGCACGTCGCGCCGTATCGACATCGCCCGATTTCGAATGACGACGATTTCGATCAACGAAATGAAAAGTAAAAAAAAAAAAAGAAAAAATGAAAGTTCCGAGGAATCTGCGTGAAAACCGGTCGTTATATAAATATAAAGGCTTGTAAAGGACATTACAGGCGCGGGATTGATGTTAATATTGTTAAAAACGTTGACTGTAACGGAGAAGAGAACGGTAACGTAGAATCCTTATCTTTTATATCGAAGAATTTTACGTGTCACTTTTCAAATTCAAATTTTATATGTAATTTCACTCTAGTAGAGTGAATAATTAATGAATACGATAGATAATAACGTTAGAATTTATTTTCGGAAATTACTGCATTTGTAATTTTTTTATATGTAAGAATTTTGAGAAACAACGAAAGATTTGGCTTTAATTAGGATATTTTATTATGAAAAGTGTGCCATTCTATCTTATATCTATTATTTTATACAGTATATCTTTCCTGTTTCCAGATTCCTGTTTAACAACATATTGAATAAAATAAACATACTTAATATATTTAATATTATTATCATTTTTTATTATTCATGCATTTAATAAATAACGTTACGTAAGAGATAATTATTGTTTAAGAAATATTAAATATATGATATTCATATTCATATTATAATGATCCTTTCATTATATTATTTATTAGATAATATTACATATAAGATAATTATTTAAAAAAAAAAATATGAGAAATATAATATTTATTTTTATCTTAATGACCTTCTGAATATTTATAAGAACACGATGTACACGTATATAATATCTTTGACATGTCTCTTTCTTCGAAATAACGAAATCATTAAGAAAATAAGGTATCTAAATGAAGTGATAAATAATTCCATTATAACATCAAGACAAGTTATACATTTCTTTTTATTACGCTTATGAGCGATTAAAAAATTTTTCACTAAAGTTTTCGTTAGTTATTGATGTAAATATACTTTACTTTTCACGTAAATTGAAACACGCGATAAAAATTGTTTACAAATAAATACGTAAAAATTATTATATTAGAAATAGATTGTTGTTATAACATTATTTTTACTCGAGCTTATCAGCTATAATATATTATTATTTTCTTTTCTTTCCTTATTATCGATACAAATTCACAATACAACAATTTAAATATACAATATCAATCTTTTCGAGACAAATCAAATCGTCAATCAATACAAACAATCGATTTACTTATCTTTACTCTATCCATTACTACATTACTCACGCGCTAGAAGTTTCTTTAATTTCGTCTTTTTTCTTTTTCATAATTTTATTCGTGCTAGGAGGACGTTCGTTAACGCGCTCTTTCCATCCATCAAGTAACACGTAACGATTCTCCCGATAAGTAGCGCCCGTTTCTTCCTATTCCATCCTTCACATCTTCGCCTGGATTTTCCAGCATTCTCTCTATCGTCATAAATGTCGCACGGTATCCGAGAATGCGCAGGGAGCGTTCACCTTTCCGCTACTCGCAACCTGAACGAATTCGATCGACGATGACGATGACGGCGACGCAGCAACGTACCGAGAATTACTTTGAGCGAGGCTTTTACATAACGTTCGATAGCCGATTGAACGGTCGTGTGCATATTCCAAGTGTCGAGTGCAAAAGTCAACATGCTGCACGGAAAGTCTAACGGTTCCCTAACGTTGTCGTCGTCGTCGTTGTCGAGGACGGTGCGTATTTTTCCATTATTCGTCGGTTTAAACGGAACGCTCTTTATCGAAATTTATCTTTTCGCATTTATAATTTCGCCTCGACCTCGACTCGAGCGTGCCGTACGTGTCGAGGAGTTGAAGCGCCCCCTCCCTCCCTCGCGCTTCTGTGAGCCCAGTCGATCGAATCATGATCTTTTCGAATTGCAGCAAAGCAACAGGGTAACCATGAAGCTGGACGTTAGCTACACGGATCATTCGCACATCATTGGGAAAGGTGGGCTAACGATTAAACGGGTGATGGAGGAGACTGGATGCCATATCCATTTTCCGGATAGCAATCGGAGCAATCATCAGGAGAAAAGCAATCAGGTGTCCATCGCGGGAGAGATGGAGGGTGTCGAGCGTGCCCGTGCTCGTGTCAGGGTAAATCGAACGATTTTCTTTCTTTCTGTTTATGTAGATGGGCATCTATTATTATTATTATTATTATTATTATTCATTATATTGTTACAATGATCGAATATACGCAAAATTATTCAATTATATACGGGATGCATGCGGTATTTGCAGGATATCAGAAATTTTATCATATATCGATTTATAGAATTTTAACAATATTATTGTTTATCTGAAAAAAATTGGGCTAAAGATCATTCTATAAAATATTGCAATGCAAAATAAAACGTATGGAAAGTATTATATTGTATATCTTTATACGAGTTCTTAATCTATTATAATTTTATTTATATATTATCAATTGAAAAAGCAACCGGATATAGATTTGGAGAATTAACTAATTTTACAAATAATGCAAATTTTTTAAATCTTAGTATTATATCTTAGTATTATATTATATAAATAGTATAAGAAAAATTACGATTGTTTGAATTAAACAAGTATATTTTATGGATGCATTTTTCAATTAGATATTACGTTCCTCGGTTATAGCTAAACAAATAATAAACTAATAATTTTAATAAACTATAAAGTAAATAATTACTTGTTATTTTTTAAGTAATTATTAAGAAAGTTTTGTCTTTCTTTTTATGATAGAAGAATAAACATATTATAGAATAAAGATCTGTATATATATATCTAAATCTGCGTAATACTGTTTTACAAATGTTTGTTGGATTAAATCTATATCTGAATTGCACGTTTTTGCACATGTCAGTTCAATTATAACGAATTAGCAAAGTATATCCAAAAAAGTTATCACAAATTTCTTGAATAAAAATTTCAATTTTCGTGAGGTTTCGTTTTTGGATTTATTATATATATATATATTAATAATTGATAAATTTATTCAATAAAAAAAAATTAGATTTTGAAAAAAGATCTCCATTTGAATGTGGTTTTGATCCAATTACTAAATCACATTCTATCTAATTGCCATAATATTTTTAATTTTTGAAGAGAAGAAATTATTTTATTTTTACTAATAATTTTTTAATTAAAATCAATTAATTCTATTAATTATTACTTTAATATTTGAATCATTTAATAATTATTTAAATTGAATATATTGAAAATTTAAAATTTATTTTAATAAATCGATCTTTAAATCGAAATTAAAAGTAATAATTACTTCTTTATAATAAATATTAAAATTTTAACTTAATTAATAATAATTTATAAAATCGAAAAATTAGTTAAAGCTAAAGTTTAGCAATTTATTGTTAATCAATTATATGAATAAAATAATATGATATCTTTTCAAATATAGGCATTCATAATATCATCAATTATAATAAGTATAAAATAAATTATTAAAATTTCTCACTTTTTTTTATTGAATCAGTTAAATATATATGTTGAAATATATACTGAAATTGCGTTCTATAACCAACAATTAGCAAAGAAATTATTTTACTAAGTGTAAAAATTTGTTGGATAATTTTGGATATCAAATTCAGGGAAAAGAAAATTTGAAAATTCCACCAATGCATGTATTATTATGCAGAAATATCTGGATAAATTATATTTATATTAAATTATAATTATCTCAGCATAAATTTTTCTAATAAATTTTGCTTAAAAAATAAATTTTGTCTCTCTAATATGTAAATCTGAACGTTTTTAACGAAAAATAACTTAAAAGTATATTTATTTCTATATTTTTTAAAAAACAATTAAATAAATACTAAATAAAAAAATTGTTTAAAAACATTTATGTAGTAATAAAAAGATATATATATATACTTCTGAAATACACGTAAAAATGATTTTTTTAAAAGTTATGCTTGTTCATTGTATATATGATTTGATTTCATCAATATTTTTTGGATAAGACATATTACATTTTTTCGAATTTTAATAATTCTATGAAATACAAATAAGAAATTTCTTTTTATTTAAAAACCAATTACACCAAAAAAAAAGAAAAATATGAATTATTTTTGATATTCGAGAACCATTTAATTTTTGTTAACTTGTATTAGCTATTTTTATCTTAATTTTTTACCTTTATTTTGTTAAGTCATTTCTAAAATTAAAAATAGAAAGTGTCGAAGAAGAGTTTTTTTGTATTTCAAATTGTGACTTTTAAAATTTTTATTCATAACTTTTTTCCTTGTTAAGCAGGTTATTAATAGTTATTTTAATATTATTTTGAATAAAAAAATCTGTTTTCTTGTATTTTTTCTTAGTCATAAAAAAACGATAAAATTTTCTTGGTTGTCTAATGTCAAAATTTCAATACATATTTAATATAAGTAATTCTATTATATTTGTCTGCTTATTGCTGGATGCAATTATCATTTTGACGTTGCAAAATGGCAATTACTTCTTATCACTTGATACTTAAACGATATTTATATTAAAAAATAACATTGCGCCCAATTTTGCTTCCCTGTAATGCTTTTCTCTTTATCAGTTTTAATCTTGTTTCAAAAATTGCAATTGTAAAAACTTGAAAAAGAAAAAAAAAAAAAAAAAGAAGCTCAAGTTGCGATTATTGCACATGACTTTATGATTTTTTTATATTCGTTTTATTTTTACCTTAATAAAACGAACAAAGAACAATATTCATTTTACATTTTTACAAATAAAAACATTCGATAAACTTACGATCTTTTAAAAATTAAAAATTTCTTCAATTTTGATGATAACTGAGAGATTTCATTATAAAAATATTATTGCAAATATTCGATCGATATAGGGCCAAAAAGATTTAAAAGTTTTTAAATTTTTAAACTAATAAACTAGCAGAATTTCGATCTTTTATCGTAGCTAAATATTGTTTCGTTACTTGTTACCTTTTCAGAATCTTACACCCCTGATCTTTTCGTTCGAATTGCCGATAATGAGCTCGACGCAAGCCTTGCCGGATTCCACGACACCGTATCTGGTCAAAATTCAAGAGAAATATAACGTACAAGTGATGTTCCGGACGAGACCAAAATTGCACGCCACCCTGGTCGTGGTGAAGGGCTGCGAATGGGAGGTATCTCAAGTGAAAGAGGCCACCGTGCTTCTGATCCACTACATGTGCCAAAACTTAGCTGTAAGTAACAACGATTCTACGATTTCGTGCATTTCTTCTTCTTCTTCTTCTTTTCTCTCTCTCTCTCTCTCTCTCTCTTCGAATTTCCATCCTCGAAATTATTATTATTATTATTATTATTATTATTATTATTATTTAGTCAAATCTCGAATCTTCTGTCTCTTTCTCTCTCCCTCCACCCACCACAGAGTCAAATACAAGTACAAATATCGATGGAGATTTCGCCTCAACATCACAGCATCGTGTTGGGGAAGCAGAGCAGCAATTTGAAGATGATAATGCAACGCACGGGCACCCAGATAATGTTCCCAGACGCTGGTGATCCAAATATACCCAGCTTAAAGAAAAGCAACGTTACGATCACAGGTGGCATTCACAACGTTTACTTGGCCCGGCAACAGTTAGTGGTAGGTCATGTTTGTCCGCGTGATTCGATTTTTCTTATCTCTTCGAATCACCGAGTTCTGCCCTTATCTTCTTCCCTTTGTTTCTCTCTTTTCTTCTCTTTTCTTCCTCGTCTCTCTCCTCCTCCCCCCCTCCCCCCCTCCCCCCCTCCCCCCTCCCTCTCTCTCGTACGAGCACGCAGCTATCATGAATTTCGCGTTTTTTTTTTAACGTGGATCGTAAAAGAAAATTTTTATTCAGGGATCCCTGCCTCTGGTCCTCATGTTCGATCTTCCCGAGGACTCGATGTCCTCGGTCGACACCGACAATATATCCCAACTGATGCAATCCTTGGACGTGTTCATAAACGTGAGGCACAAGCCGAAACAGAACACGCTCTCCGTGATCATAAAGGGGATCGAGCGTAACGCAAGTAATATCTACGAAGCGAGGAAACAGCTGTTGGGCCTGGACGAGCCCCGGGTCTATGCAGAGATACCGGCTACTTATTACATACCGAACGTTGGAAATATTTTTCAAGGAAATGGTTCGAGCAACGGTTCCAGTGAGTATTAAACTCCGCTCCGTTTTCCCACCGACAATCGTTGAAAAAAGAAAAATTACTAAACTATGAATTCTCGACACGGGTCGTCGAGTTATCGGATACGGTTATCAATAATTGTATGTAGATAATATTTACAAAATGTTGACATGTTTGTCTTTGGAAGGTCGATTCTAGGAAGGTCGAAATAAATAGAATAGAAGTTGGTATACGAAAATGGTGATTTTTCTTTTTTTCTTTTTTTAATTTAAATTACAAACAATTTGGAACAATTGAAAAACGAAACGAGAATGCACAACAGCGTGTAACGAGTGAGACTAATTGGTAATTGCTCGTAATACATAATAAATAAATTTTAATCGATTGATTATTGCATTATTACCGATTATTCGTTTTAACTTCTGATAAACTCTTGAGAATAAACTCCAAAAGTGTTCTATGAACACATATTGTACACGTTATCAATGATATCATTAAAATATTGATAACGAAGGAAAATAACTAAAGATGAGTTTCATTGAATTTTCTATATACTTAAAATATCGTGTTTGAAATATAAATACTTATTTATTTTTATTCGTAAACGATATCATCACTATAACAGGTTGCAAGGCCGAAAAGAATAATTTTTTTAGAGACTCACAATGAAAATTTTAACCAATTCTTATAAACGAGTTATGTTCTTTCGAATATCGAAAAACTTTGACAATAATCTATATATAAAAGAAATCATAATGCATCGGTTTCGAACTGGAACACTTTGAATATTTTATTTACTTTTACAATACAAAATGCTATTTTCACCGAGGAACGCGAAATCATGAGAAGAAAATGGATGGAAAGTTATCGAATTTCAAAGATTTTCATTGAATCGATTATATAATCCAATTGCATAATTGTGTTGCACAATATTCGCAGGTCCCCCGAGCAGTTTGGTCAGCAGCCTCTCGGACAATTTGTCGAGCATACTGACGATAAACACGCAGACGTCTCCTTACTGCATGTCACCTATTTCTCACTCGCCAAGTCCTCTGGGCTTGTCGCCTCATTGGGGTTTACCGCCGATACCGTCCATGTTTTCACCATTGCCACTCCACCACACTTACACGTATCAGCAGCACCTTAATCACTTGCTGACAACGCAGCACGTGATGCATAACAACGCAATACCTCCTCATACCCATGCACAACAGAATCACGGTTTTTCCGGTATCGCACAACTTCACTCGAACGTGCCTCCCGGCTTTCACAGTATTCACGGATTGAACGGTAATTCGTTGACAGACAGCAAGGAAGGTAGCGGTAAGTAATTTCTTTTCTCGGTTAGATAACAAAATTTAACAGGACACATATATATATATATATATATATATGTGTGTGTGTGCGTGTGTATTTATGAGAATCTAGATGATATGAACGGATCGTTCAATATATTCATTTAATGAAAAATGAAAGAAATGAACGCTGTTTCGTGAAATATATATATATATATAAAAATTTCATTCTTTTTTTTTTAAATTTTAATCTTTTTACCGACTTCACATTAATTTCATTGATAGAATGTTTGACGAGCGATAATTTCGGAATATCGTATTCACAACTTCTCTCATATTCCGCAGCATACTCGTCGCTGAGCAGCATGTCCAGCTCTCTATCTAGTCCAGCCATCAGTCCTCGTAACATATCTCCGGTTAACCCAACGGAGAATAATCCTAATATAGGTGAGGGATCCGAATCGATGTTATATAGAAATTCCATTATTTAAATACGTTCGTCTCGACAGATTTGTCCAGCATGCTGTCCGATCTCACGGTGTCGGATCGTCGCGCGCCGGGTTGCGAGAAGAAATCGCTGGAAATGGCGGTGCAACAAAATCTTGTTCCCTTCGATTACGAGCAGAAAAAGCTGCTGGCTACGAAAGCGATACAAACGAAGCCGGCCACCAACGATTATCGCGTTCCTACTTCCGCCTGGTCTGGCTACGGCCTCAGTCAAACCATTCCCCCCATGAGCGCGACCGACTTGAACAAGGTATACCAATTTTTTTCCATACAAGGCGAATTACTCTACTCGTTCTTTCTTTTTAAAAAAAAAAATTCGTAGGAATTGACCACGACATCTCATCCGTCCGATTTGTGGAAGGAGCCGACTGCGTCGGTGTTCAGCAGGGACATCGACTTTGGAATCGGTTCCGGCAAAGATCGTGTTGGCCAGATCGGGATAAATTCCAACTACTTGGAGCACACGCCCAGCGCTCACCTCAAGAATATCACGTCCAATCGGTACGACGACTTGACCAGCATGCTGACTTCCGTTGGATTGGAAAAGTACATTCGTACGTATATGTATACACACACATTTCGATTTATGGCTTTTGCTTGTTGATCGTTCGCATGCATCTATCATTTTGGCGGCAAATTTGAAATTTTATCATTCGTTACATTTTGTTTTCGTTTTCTTTATTGTAATGCGATTTTCCACATTTTTTGAAAACCTTAAACCTCGTAATCTCGCCAGTTTTTGGGGTCGGCTTTAACTTCAGTCGGAGAGGACGATTAATCAGATAACGAAAAATTAAAGATAAGTTAAGGATCTATCTAGGTATGGATTGAAATTTTACATCCTATGGATGTAATTTCTTTATATCTTTGAGGCAAAAATTATACTTCCAATTATACTTCTTCCCCAGAATATAAATATTAGTTAATCAAGTCTTAAAATTTAAACAAAAGCTCAATTATCATTTATTTATTAAGAGTTTTCCTAATCGTTAATTAAAAACCTGAAATTTTTATAACGACCTCAAAAACTGTTTTGTTAAAATGTTTCCCAAAGAAACGAGCGATAAGCGTGCGCACACGTCCAATCCAGCTTATCCGCTTGTAACACGCTTGTTTTCCAGGCCTGTTCACGTCTCACGAGGTGGACATGGCTACCTTTCCCTCGCTGACGGAAAAAGATCTCTGCGAAATTGGGATAACTGCTTGGGGCGCGAGGCGTAAAATAATGCTGCTAATCGCTGGTACGTAAACTAAACCGCGGCCCCTCGAAAAAATTCTCAAATCGAAGGAATTTCGTTTCCAGAAATGAACAAGCGAACGAGCCCATTCTGCGGCAGCGCTGCACCTGGCGCGGAGCGTAAAACGACCACATCCACGACCTCCTCGTCAATGGAGAAGTGTAATCTGGACACCAAATGGTAGCGAAGACGAAGGATTGTTACGAGTCTCGCGAGATTCGTGTGGACGAAATCGGACAGGGCCGCGTTGTACTTAAACAGATCCGATCCTTGGAACGATAATAACAATCGTAGGGATTTGAGAGAGAATCGTAGAAAAAATCACGCGGGCCAAACTTTTTCGCCGACTCGATCAGTAGGATCAAAAAAAAAGTGGTATAATTGGTATGTTAATTTGCGAATTTCTAGGCACCGAAGGAATAGGCGGTTGATTCTTTTTGTGGTCGAGGATCCGTTTTTTTTTTTTTTATT